AATTACTGAATGTTTTGTTATAGTTACACTACTGATACTTTTTACTCATTTAAAAGAAGCAAATAACTCTTGATACCCTATGATTTTTAATTGAAGTATTCATTGCTTATTTTCTGGCAAATAAAAAAATATTAATTATTGTTTAAGTTAAAACCTTGTTATACGACTTCATTTTAAGAAATAAAATAAACGTCAAAAGTTATAAAACAATAGCTATTTTAGGCTTATAGTATTTTTATAAAATCGTTATTCTATATAATATTAATTATTATTAAAATCTAATGTGCTTTCGCATTATTGTCGACACAGCCTTATAGAGTGAGATCACCCCGTAAAAAGAAATTATTGTCTTATTCTTATATTAAAAATAAATATTAATACTAATTTAAAGATCTATATAATAATACCAAATTACTTAGAAAGTAAACTAATGGATTTTAATTCCATTACGACTACGAATACTTCTTAATCTCGAATTTATTGCTTCAGCGTCAATCACGCCAGCTGAAAAGAATTTCGATTAAAAACCTAATAAGTATCACTAATATCGTTAAAAAACTAACAATAACCACAGTTATTCGCAATAATAAATAATCTAACTTATTGTTATATTATATATCTACGTACACGATTATTATTCCATTATATTATTACATTCGGTGCTCTGTAACGAGTGTGGGGGATCGGTACCCTTTCGCCATTGTTTTGGACATTGTGAAAATTATCACTTAAATAAATATATGCACAATCCGGCCCTACAAATACATTACAAATAATATCTTTAACTTAGTCATTGCGGTGTCAAAATAATTAAAATACTAAAAGTGATTTCGTCAGCATGCTGATGAGTAGTGAAAATAAATGTTCTTATATTTTAAGTGAAATTTAATGATAACTATGTGTAAAATGCGCGAGCAACCTATCAAAACAAAAACAACAACAACTAAAACCGGAAAAGCAAATCAAATATGGAAGAAACACATTCTAAAACAACCTAATCAAGAAGCCTTCCCACCACGGTTGGTCGCCGCGGGAAGATCAGACCACCACCCTCTAACAAAAAAACATAATATAATATATAGCATCCCTTAATATTAGGACTTTAAGAACTCCTGAATCACTAAAAAGAGTCGCAAAAGATAGAAAACAGTGGAAAGGGTTAGAGGAGGCCTTTGCCAAGAGGCACACCGAACTCCGAGATATACTGGAGTGAAAATATAATAAAGTTCAGATATATAAAATGACAGAGTTTCGGAATTTAAAGGCTATATTATTATTATTATTATTATTATGTGTAAAATACATATGATACTACAAATACATATACAAGAAATTTTCTAGTTGATTTTTTCAAACCAGAATTGACGGTGTAGAGATAAGTTAAAATAACTTTTTATTTTTACACTATCATTAATTCTAAAAGACTAAATTTTAAAATGATTTTAATTTCGCATTGAAGGAAGACAGTTTAATGTAAAAATCACATAAAATTACCCAAAACATATGATAATTCTCACTGATGTCCAAAAGCCTCCTCTATCTTCACATTTAAATCTACTTCTTTCATATTTCATTCGGCATTTTATTGAAAATATAGAACCTGTGACAAAACGAATAAAAATTAATTCAGCCTAATCTCAAAATAAACAAAACCTATTTTTATAAATTAAAATTAAAAACTTATTACCCACCTCTAGTAAAATATATACTTTACACATGCTCATTTATACTTTGGTAATCCAATATTATTCTAAATATACAAATCCGAGTCGAACCCAAAATATTTTTAAGTAATATTGCATTCTGATACTACCACGACATTATTATTGTCATAATTTGTTTATATACAATCACACAATTACTACCATTAAAAGGATATATTTGACCAAAATGTATTATTTTGTCCCTTTATCATTCTTAATTAAATGTAGAATCTTATCTGCTATATCTACCATTTAAAATACTGTATAGGTTCTGTCGATATTAATAATGTTGTTCGCACTTATGCAGTGCGAAATCTATACTATCTAACAGTTCACAATATGAAAATGAACTCCGAATGAAAATTTATAAACATACGAAATACCAAGCGTGTTTTATCAACTTATTGTCTTTAATCGCACGTTATTGTCAAAAATAGAGTATTGTCAATTTATTATCAGCATCATATTCAATATAGCCTTTTTAAACATAGAATATAAATAATCAGGAGATCATCTGATGTTAAGTGATACCGCACGGGCACTCTACCAGAAAGCTAGATAAAATCAACTGGTTGCTATAGGTCGGTTATCGAAAGCTGGCGGGTTCACAGTACTCACACTAATGCAATTTCACATACAGTATGTTTCAAAATATGATTTTTTTGCCATGCTATACATTTTAGTCCACTCATACACGACGGACAGTCTATTCATGATGTATTTATGATTGTATTTCAGTTTGACATTACGTCTCGCGCTTATTCACAGACACTACACAAGCACAAAGTGTAAATGTGTTGAAGCCGCCAGCTTTAGTTAACATACCTATAATATAGGTTTGTATTTTTTTTTTTTTTTTAAAGATTTCAACTTTGACGTAGCTCACACAATGTTTGACTGTACGTTATTTATTTTTTAAGAAATGCTCACATATTGTAGATCTACATAATAATTTCGCTGCATTGTTTTTTATAACACCATACGCCTTTTTTATTTTAGTATAGTAGTTTTTTTGTTCAAATTAATGTATATAAAATATTGTATAAACCATTTTAAAAGAGAAAATATGAAGTTTCTTGCCTATTCTTCTCCATATGAAACTACCTTTTGGAACGAGCAACTAGACTTTTTTTTAAATGTTTTTAAATTTTGACTTTCAAAAGTACCTTTTTAATAGGCCTAATTGAAATAAATGATTTGACTTTGAGCTCATGAGTGCGTTGCAGGCATTGTAATCGGTGATTTATATTCCTTTTTATAAGGCTTTTTGTAGACATCAGGAATTAGGCCGCCTAAGACAAATTGCCAGTGAATATAATTGTATTATATTAAATCTGATTTCAAAATTGCAACCCTAGTATGTGATACCATTATAAAAAGGTTATATGAATACGACGCTTAATACAACTTAACTCTTAATGTGCATTTTAACAATTGCCGCCATCACCAAACATTCTACTTCTCAAATTTAAATTGTTATTTTTACCATTAAATATAAATCGTACCTTGTCTGAAGGTAACCTGACTCTAATATATCGAGTTATTTACAACTATATTTTCTACTTAAAGTAGTTCTTGTCGAGATACACAAGCGGTATATACGTAACAATGAAAAACACCTGGCTATGTACTTAACTTAATAATACAATTTTTAAATAGCGTGGTTTTGATTAATAATGTACATTATTGACACCGATATACACTAAGCATTTTTTTTAGATTTTTTTATTTTGTCAAAGCGATATATAATTTGCAGTAACTATATATTATATTATATTCATATAAATAATTATAAGATTCAATATTATTTTAAATTATATTAAGTGAAGGTTTCACTGTCAAAGGGAGAGATTTTTTATCGTTTAATGATTAGCGAAGTAAACAAACAATTATAAAAGAAAGATGATTACATTACTTCCTTTATCTCAACATTTTAGTTAAATTTCTACGCCTATCATACATTTATTTTATAATTTGAAGTACATACAATTCTATAATATTAAAAAGTATTTCGTTCATATCAATGTAAGAGTATATAATAAACATTTTTTAACAAGTAGGTATGACATGTAGCAACAAGGACGAGACAGAAATAGGAGGAAGGTTTTAAACGAATATCCTAAACATTCACACAAGTTTAAGTGCGAACTAGCATTAATCGTAATGACACTGTTTTTAATTAAGTGTCTCTTTCTGTTAAATTATATTTAAGCTGAGTTGAAAAGAGATCAATGCCTGGTTATGTGACTGTTTTAGGGAATTAGGCGGTGATTGTCAAAATCTGATGCGCATTTCACGGGTTTAGTCGCACGTAAACTTGTTTTTGGGGGCTTAAAGCTTAGTCTAAATTTGTATAAACATATTTTTTTGTTCTCCATATGAATTGAATTTTTAAATATTTCTCCCAACAAATGAAAGCGTTACCAAAAGCAAACATACATACTAATATTAAACAGGATTTGATACATGATATGCAAAAACATCGCAATTTATATCTACATTTTTGTACAATAATCAACGCTTGATTGCGTAACAACAGATGACGAAAAATCGAAAACATTTATCCTAAGCGTATCAGCATTTTAAAGATAAACAACAAATAAAATTTGGATTTATTAACTTTATAGGACATCTATATTGATAAAAGCTAACATATGAAGAACAATACATATTTTTCTACCTAATTGTAAAAAATAGTTGACGTACCCCGAGACTGCAACGCCATGGTGTTGAGGTCAAAATACACTACGATTTACTTCTAGTAGAGGAAAGATTTGTGGTCTGTATATTTATTGTTAAACAAAATATTATGAGTCAAAATTCTATAAAACCAATCAATTATAGAGGTATACCAGAGTGACATACGTGCGGCTGTTTATTTCCAAAAATATTTAAAAAAATAAATGCCCAGTGCCAACCGGGTCTGCTAATTAATCTATAATTATATTTTGTTATTGTTTAACGCTGCAAATAGTTAAGATAAATCTAAAATATAAGTCACAAAATAGTTGTAAATCAATTGGATCCACTTCATCGAGAGATATTTAAAAAAAGTCTTCTAATAGTTTTACGTAAATATGAGGAAAATTTTCATATTGGAATAGGGAAAAAACTCGCCTTTATTTAAACCTACATTAACTTTCTTACACTGTTATAAGTAGGTCTCATAACTAGTCATCATGAAAAGAGACAATTACTTTAGTTAAAACAGAGTAAGACAGATAAGAATAAGTCTTTTCATTAAATACGATTATTGTCTTACGCGTTTTGTAGTGTATTTTGACCGAAGGTTAAAGTTTAATATGTGCCATCATCAGTCAGATCCTGGTAGGACTCCGCTGGAGGCTGTATAGGTTCAGCTTGGTACAAAGCCCCGGAAACAAATGGATTATTGGGGACATGCTGTTGGGGCGCGGGTGGGCGAGGCGGCGCAATGGCACCGTATGCTGGCGGCTCTGAGCCCTTCAGTGGGGCTGAAGGCTGTTCCGACTGTTGACAATAATTACATGTCTATTATATTGTCTTTGGTCAAATATATATTTTAATAACATTTCTGTTTGTCATTTGCTTCAAATGATATTTTAAAAGTAAAAAAATTGTGGAAGTATTTAGAAGTATCTAGCTTTGCCTTGTCTATTTTTGAGTCTACACTAATACAATATATATAATAATGGTAATGAAAATAATACATTTATACATACAAATGTTGTTTCCTGGTCTGATATAGGTTTCATGGGGGCATCATAGGCTGTTGGTGGGGGATCCGCCCAAGGCTGCAGCTCTCCGGAAGCAAATATACCGTAAATCGTGATGCCTATAAAGTGTACTGTCGCCCCCATCAGGAATACTTCGCGCCATTCCGTTATGGCCTTTTCTAATTTATCCTATGCAAATGTGGAATGACAAGCAATTAATATGGTATAGTTTGTAGGAAATCCACAGATTACGAATATAGGAGTAGTTTTTTTTTATAATTTGTGACACAAACAAAAATTTTAATCAAATTAAACAAATTGTTAAGTCTCTAAGGCAAAATCTGCAAAATTTTCTAACATTTTGTTTTTTTAGTTCACTTTGTCTTAAACTATAACGTCTTAAGATGCTAAGTAAAAAATGTGACAATACAATAAATAAATGGTTGTACTTGCAATTGTTACCAGCTTTATGCATTAAAAACATCGTGTACTATTTGAAACATAAATTATGTATCGAAATTGACTTGAGTAATGAATTGTTTCTAGAATGATCTGCTAACGGTATTTGTACATTTATTCTAACGTAGTTTAAATTATCCCTTCATATCAAAGGCATATCACATCAGTCATAAAGCGAACACTTCTAGTCAATGTAACGCACCGTCGCTCACCCACCGTTTGTTCATTTCGCATTATTTCGTATTCAGCGCGCGTTTCACACCGAGCTCGATTTCCTTTTTAAAATTAGCCACGGACCAATGTCTTTATTGTTTCGATAGAGCCTTCGAGGGTAGTACGCACGTATTGTGATAAATAAAGTTATATTTATTGAGTTTTAAAAAAGGAATAGCAGAAGGAAGTTTCAAATATATTTTTAATATTAGGTTTGCATAATTGTTGAGAATAAGCAATCGCTGTCTTATACAGGTTTTCTTGTTTTGAATATAAATTTTTCATAAAGAAGTATAGGGCAAGCAATTTTCTTTGTGAAAAAGACTGAATATATCCGGATTAACTGTGTCACTGGGCATCGAACCAAAGTCATTTAAAGATAAATGCATATGGTAACCCACAGCTATCATTTCTGTGTAATAATGATACTTTAGTCATGACAGAAATATGGTTGTGACAAAAATAATATATCGCTAGTCCCCACTAGGGAACAATTGTTCCGTGGTACATGGTGAAAGTTTAAAACATTTTTTAAGAAAAAGTGGTCTTAGTGTTACATCTATTGGAACAAAAGACCTTAATACTAATTTTACTAACCATATTTATGTCATACTTTAAAAAGAAAGTCAGTGGCGGTACAACCTCTTTAGGTCTGGGCCTCAGATTTTTGAATCTATTTCATGATAATTTTTCAATCTAATAGGGAAGTAGGTGATCAGCCTCCAGTGCCTGACACACGCCATCGACTTTTTGGGTCTAAGACATGTCGGTTTCCTCACGATTTCCTTCCCCGTTCGAGCGAATGTTAAATGCGCACATAGAAAGAAAGTCCATTGGTGCACAGCCGGGGATCGAACCTTTGACCTCAGGGATGAGAGTCACTCGCTGAAGCCACTAGGCTGAACACACTCGACATACTGTATTAAAAAAATTATAAGAAAAAATCCATGAAAAATCTTACCTTTTCCTGTGTCATATAATCAATCACAATTGGAACCACGAAGCCAGCTATAGTACCGATACCATTGGAAAGTCCCATCAAAATAGACGCATATCGTGGTGCGATGTCCAAATGATTCACATTGTATCCAGAAATTGCGAATCCACTGCACGCTACCCCGAGTGTCAGTTCTATCGTTGCAACGTACTAAAAATAAGCTTTTGTTAGGACTTTTAAGCTTACTAATATATTTTTGTCTGAACAATTACACTGGTAGAAGTTATGACTTCATTATAGTTTCTGAAATCTATGAAAACAAACAAAAATTTGCGTGATAAATAAGGAAAAATGTAACGAAAAACTTTTTGTAATTATAGAATCATATTATATATATCATAATAATACAACAGAGTAAATATAAAGTTAAATGTAAAATTCTCGTGTCATAATTTTCGTTCCCATACTCCTCCGAAACGGCTCGACCGATTCTTATGAATTTTTTTATGCATATTCAGTAAGTCTGAGAATCAGCTATATTTGAAACCCCTAATTGCTAAGGGGTGTCCACCCCAACAATTTTTTTATGTTTTAGTTTTTTTTTGTTTTTATTTTTTATAGCATACAAAAATACATACAACCCCTAATTTTCATCCCTCTACTATCAACCCCTATTTTTATTATTGTAGATAGTTATTGTCATTGAACTAAAAAAATGTTTCCTAGAAATAATGTACATGGCAAAACAAACGTTTGCCAGCTAGTACAGATAATTTTTTGATATCCATAGTAACGTCATTTCTATGACTCCGGTGTTATTTATAGCGTTTCAGTACGTCGAAAATATATTGGAGGTCAGACTTAGTCTGCTTTCTGAATATCACAATTTTACACCACAATTACGATTTCTTCTAATCGCCTAGAAAATGCGCATTAGACAGCCATTTTATGGAATGATCTACAGGTCGTAAGTAGTATTAAAACTGACCGTAAACAGTGAAACTGATCAAGGTATTATAAGTACTTACTTTGTTATCAGCATACGCGACGAGAACAAAGAAAAACGCCTCCAGTCCAAAACCTCCGCAGTTGAAAAGTTTCCTCACATTAGTTGTAGTCATTATATTGTTTTTGCGAAGATAATCCGCCATCATCCCCCCGATGGGCACAAGGGATGTCATGATCAAGTGAGGTATGGCACCGACAAAACCAGACTATGGAAAAACAGTTCTTATGTTAACGGAATCGGGGTGATAATTGTTTGTTCAGATTTTGAATTGCGATGTGTATTTGTATTATAAAATTAAATCAAATGATTCTCGTTATTTTTATATTTCGACGGCTCGTTATTTAATAATTGTTAGTTACGCCTGCGATATTTCTCTGTTTAAATACGTGTATATCGAACTTTAAATGTTAACCTGATAAGTCAGACTACTTCTGTGTCTATTTTCATTATGCATGACTCACAAAAAAAGTTTTAAAATACAAATAATAGTTACTTACCTCAGTAATTTGCATATTAAATCGTGTGTTGAAATATGCCGACTGGAAGATTACCAATAAGCAGAAGTTCCAGGTCCTACAGAAGTTGGCCACGATGATGGCGTACACCTTAAACAATTATTTGATAATGCATTTTGTTAAGAAAACTTATGTATTCACAGAAGTTTCTCGAACAGTTACTTGACTATGAACACCAACTACATTGACTATGAATATCATCAATCAATTTTTATACAGTTTACAAGGCTGTTATGTGTATTCCTAGTTATACTATTGGTTCCATGACGTCAAATGGTGTTATCGAAAATGAAGACATTTTCTATTGAAATGATTGTGATCCAGTTTTATTCATAGCTAGATTTCTTAACTTATATGGTGAGACAAAATATAAAATAAAAAAAAATCTCTCATCTGTCAGAAAAGGTCTTTTTCGACAGGCGTGGCCCACTATTGCTAAACGAATTTGACAAACTCAAAATAACCATTTTTTTTCAAATTTGTTTAGCGTTAGTGGGTCACAATTACTATGTCTCTATTCTCTATTATTTATAGAAATCCAACGTTATAATAAAAACATAACCTAACTTTGTTAATTTTAAATTGAGAACTTATAACTTTGCTAATTATAAGTTCTCCATTAAAAATTCAATTTCAGTTCAGTTTTTGTATTAAATTAGTATAATATATATTTACCGGTGTTGACGTAGCAAACTCCTTCCAAGGTGTAGACCAGAATCCAGGCATGGCAGCTTGAGACGCGGTACCCAATGATTGCTCAATATAAGCTAACTCTTTACCTGAGATGTGAGGATGCTTGCTAGGTCGCTCAAACACAAGCCACAACCAAAGGAAGTACCTTAACAAAACACGACACGATGAGCTTTAAACTTATTGAAGTTACCGAAGAACCTTATTGATCAATGAGACATTTATATATTTAAAATCTGTCTAAGAATAGTTAAATGTTCGGTCTTTCACGTATTAGAATAAGGTATAAATTAATAGCTACTTAAATCGCCCAGTAGTCAATACAAATGAACCACAGATGTAGCATACATAACCTTAATTAAAAGGCTAAAGTGACACAACGTTTTTGAAAACGAATGTTAAAAATATTTAATGAATTATTTGTTTATTACCAACTATCTTAATTAGTTAGAACCAATGCGACGGACTTTAACGACATATATTTAATACACTTGTGACGAATATTAAATCATTCAAAAAGATTCATTTTTTTTATATATGGTTTCAATTCCTAATCTTGTGTTAACAAGTTAGGGACGAGGTAACTATGTACCAAATTATACCAGATGACCACTAGACTCCTTAGTTACTATTAGTGGGGTGTAAGTAGAAAATAATATTAACAATAACGGTAATAAAATACCCCCCCCCCCCCGAATTTTTTTAAAAAAAACCCCCCCCCCCCCCCAAAATTTTTTGGGGTATTTTGGAAGCCCCCCGGGACGTGTGACTAGCAATTAAGTTTGACTAACCACAACGAGATGATAAATTAACTGATATCGAAGTAAAACGGTGTTTGCCACGAGATGTAATCTGTGAGAACACCAGACAGTGGCATTCCTATGACAATACCCGCGTAGGTACCGCAGAAGGCTAATGTTGCGAGTCTCGATCTTTCCATAGGTGGAGCCCACATCCTCCAAATTCCGTGGCAAGAGGGGTAAGTCACACCCTATAAATGGAAGCGTCATCATTGGGGAAATAAAAAAATTGTGGTTATAGAAGTATTATTTTTCGAAAAATGATCTAGCGCCCCCCTTTATTGAACTTTACAGAAATTCGTTAAATTAGATAAAGTTTAACAAAAGGCTTTTACTATCAGAGACATACCTATCGAAGATTATTATAGAATTTCATTAATTGTAATAGAATTATTACTATCATTGAAAAACGTGACGATTTGCTACAAAATTTCTCCCATACGCCGATAAAGAAGTTTCATTCCAACGCCGATAAAGGTTTGACTTTAAAAAGCAACATGGCGCGTAACCGATAAAGAAATTTCACTTAAAAATATAAAGTATTATTATTTATTACCTATCAGTGATGCGACCTTTAGACTCCCAAAAACGAAGAAATGTTATAAATTATCAATAATAAAACGATTACGTTTTTATTACAAAAACAAAATTTTTCTTAGAAAATATAATCATAATTTCTTCAATGTAATCTTCTATAATATTTCAGTTAAGCTGAATTGCCTCCAACATATTTGGGAGATATCTTTTCAATCTGATAATATCACGATAATTCAATGTGAGGTTTAATAGAATAGGCAGCGCCATTGACGATTCACCTAAGCCGAGCTACAAGGAGACGAATAAATACGTTGCCATGGCAACCGAGGGCTCAGTAATCCTAAAGAGGCTTTGTAACATCGGGAAACGATTGAGAACTACACACAAGCGTAATATACGAGTTTATTGGAATCTTGTATTTGCATGTTCTAAATTTAAAATTCTTAGAACTTCTACTTTTGCATGTTCTAAATTTAAAATTCTTAGAATTTCTACTTTTGTCATCGATTTAATATCCTCAATTCCTCATTATACGTGATCTGTACTTTATAGTTTTAAGTTTCTGATTACATACAATTATTTCATTATATTTCTTCTTGTTTGGAAATTTTATTTTTATGCCGTTTAGTAACGTTACTAGTTTATAGAAAAAATTACATTGCATTTATATAAATAACGCAATTCGTAGAACTTTTTGCACCAATATGCGTTTTAATACCAGACCAATTTTAAATTACATTTAACGAGTATAAACATTATGATTTTTTATTTTATAAATTAAATCGAAACGTCGGTATGGTAAATAATTTAAACTAAAATTATATCTGTTAAAGATTTATTTAAATGTTTCCGCGTAATCCAAAGACAATATTAGGATTTTGGTAGAATTCCACGTTCAAATAAATAGCTTTAACGAAACAGTAGACTATAGAGTATTTACATTTGTCTTTGAGTTGTAAAGGGGATGAAATCCAAACGTGACGAGTCGTATATTCGCGGAGGAGTTAAGCTTCGAAATTGAAGCATTGATAATAAGCTTGATCATGCACCGTCACGGACTGAATGTCAAATGATCAAAATTTAAACGCATATTATTGCTCGCTACATGTTTGTAACCCTCTGTATGGTGCTGTCAATCAAGGAACATTTTAACTGGAGAATGTTCAACGACGGACGAAAAATGCTTCGTTAATCATTGCTTAAGATAAAGACCAATATTTTGGTACTTAAAAGTAATTTAAGTAACTACAGGCATCGCTAGAGACGATGGCAAGCGGCCGGGTGAAATGTTGTTGATCCCTTGGAAGATGGGTATGGTATGGTATGGGATGCTACTTGTGCCGCGTCTCACCTCCCTCGGTCAAGCAAAAAAGCTGGGGCGGCTGCAGAGCAGGCGAAAAACAATAAACAGCTCAATTATAAGAGTCTTTCCTCCAACTTCGATTTAGTTCTCTTTGAAGTAGAGACTCTTGGGCCGTGGGGTTCAAGTGCACAGGCGCTAATTAAAGATTTTAGGTGGCGCCTGGTAGATAACCTGTGACCCCTGAGCTGGTCCTCGCTCAACGAATAAGTATCGCAATACAGCGAGGAAAGCTGCCAGCGTTAAAGGTACACTGCCACAGGGACCAAACTTATTAAATTTGTTTTAATTTTCTTTTTATAAATTTTTAATTATTGTTATTATTATGTCGGTTAAGAAAATTGTAAATACTGTATACTTGATTGTTATGATAAGGTTTTATTTGAGTAACTTGAACTAACGCCTAAACACTTCTCACACATTACTTAATTCTCTACAATTGAGACCTTACTTAATTTCAGTTTATATTAATACTAATTGCTATTTATGTTGGTATTTACATTGTATATTCGCGGACGCTTGGCAGACTCGATCGTGAAGTAGCATGAGTCTGGTTAGCGCTGCTACTCCTTAAGTTCTCATATCATTTGGGTATACATATATCTTTTTTCTCACATATTTTCATTAGTGTTTGATTGTCCTCGTTTTAACATGTGTTTGAGTGCTAATAAAATAATTCTCAAATCACGGTGCATCTTAATTTACAGGCTTAAATTAATTGTCCGAATTCGACGTTTGAAAATAATAAATTACATTCATATTTAAATCTGTTCAAAATGTTTCATTACACAGTGGTTGCTACTAGTGACTCCTAAAGCAAACTCCAAAACATTAAACAACGCTCAATACGGTTCAAAATTTATACATACCTCGACAAAACCCTGGGCAACTTTTAACATAACAACAGCTGCTGGTCCCAAAGACATCGCTCCAGGAATAGCCATGTTGAAAATGGCGGACGCAAATATCGCCGCTCCAAAGATCCTGTTAGCTGGATACATGGACGCCAGGTACCCTCCAGGCACCTGTGTTATCAGGTACCCAGCGAAATAGGATGAGTCAATAGATGATTCAACACTCACACTCCAGTTGAAGGGTGTATCTTCTCTTACTCCGCTTGATGTCTGTTGACAAATAAAGAATATTAATTATCACTTATGCTACAGAGAGTCTTTGTGACAGATAGATAGGTTACGAAATGTTTTACTTCATTCGTAATATATATTTATGGTATCTATAGATCTACTATGGAGACCAGTAAAACAAAAGTACCTTGCCTTAATAAAACAAAGTAGAGACGTAGACGACCCACTCTACATTAAGGGGTAGACCATACTTCAAACACAATAAACAACCTTCGTGTGTACCTTACAAAAAAAAAAACAATGGCGCTACAACCTCTTTAGGTCTTGGCCTCAGATTTCTGAATCTGTTTCATGATCATTTTTAAATCTAATAGGCAAGTAGGTGATCATCCTCCAGTGCCTGACACATGCCGTCGACTTTTTGAATCTAAGACCTGTCGATTTCCTCACGATGTTTTCCTTCACCGTTCGAGCAAATGTTAAATGCGCACATTTAATATAAAGAAAGTCCATTGGTGCACAGCCGGGGATCGAACTTACATATAGTGATTAATATTTTCTACCACCACATTGAATACCATTATCATATAAATGTATTTAACTCACATTATGCTTTTCCGTCATTTTAAGTTTGGCCATACTCATGTTGCACCTCATTCCAAACATGATGCTGAACCCGAAACATGCCAGCAGAGCCACAGTATATCGAGCGGTAAGGCAGGGGCATTCCGCGCGAACATATTTGTCTAAAACAAAAGAATACAGATAAAAGAAACTTGTACAAGAAGTTTGGGATTTTCGAAGATTGGGCATACACAAACTGATATACTATCTACTGACTATAGGTAAATATTTAAATTATATATTGTGTTACCTATGTGTCGTGGAGGTGGTCTTTCGGGTGACGGTGGTGTTTCCAGATCTTCGCCATCGTACATCTGATCATAGCCCTTCTGTTCCACATGGAAGTTTTCATATTGCTGGTTTCTACGAATAAAAAGGTTGGATAATTTATAGAAATGATTGGTTTGATACGAGATATGCGTAAACCAATAACAAGTTGGATTCATTTATCTAATTGATATTTCATTCATTAATGGTATTATTATCTATTAAATGACGACAATTCCTCTTTTGTTTGATATTTATTTTCATAAAAGTTTACTATTAACGGACCTTAGCCCTAACATAAAGACACAATAATATCAGAAATAGCATAGCAATCTGATCTTTCCTAGTTTTTTTTTATCTCCTGTATTTTTTTTACAATAAAGTTCACGAAAGATAGTGCGAATTCACATGAATTACAATCTAGCTTATGCAATAATTATGGCTAATAAATAATATTATGTTGACAAAATTTTCTACAATACTAGTTATAGCTCAAACTAAGCTTATGCTCATTAACAGTCTTAAGTTTCCAACCTGATAATAATATTTAATATAATAGAAACGACGAATGTTCATTTTAAGTCATATGCAAAATGTTTTAATCATTATTTTCAAATCGTTGCATTAAGTATAGTACAACTAGACTTTAATTATTAGGACTACTTTATATTATACATTATTATATACACACGGCCTGTCTCATTTGTGCATTGCTGGACTGGAATTTCTAAAACATTTTCAAGATCATGGATATCGGAGCATTCTAATCATATCATTATTGTAATCGATATTTTAGTTTTAAGTTTATTTGTTACACACATAGGTACATAAATACAAATCTCTTACAGCCTACATATAGAAAACTGAAAATGATAATAGTAAAATGATAGTAATACTTAAATATTCATTGAATTTTTAGTTACTACAGCATTTAGTTTGTAAGATAAGGAATAAACGGGAAGAAACCAATCAATTTTACATAAAAAACACGTAGTTATGCATGAACGAGTTGTCAGTCAACAGTTGATATATAATATATTGTCTCATCACTTTTCCATAGATTAAATTACCCCGGTTACTACTGTTACTACTGTATATTGGATATAAACTCAACAATGTCATACGCGTTATAAAGCCTATTTTCCAGATAATTAACGTGTTCGCACCGAAAGAAAATGGAATTAAAAAGCGTCGACGGAACAAATAGGACGTACACACCTGCGCCTGATACCCACTCTAGTTTGAATTATGAAGATAATTGTATGGATATTCTCCCTGCAATATTCTTAATTGCCCTTTCGGAAACGATGCAGTGAACATTTTTTAATATAAAACGGTGTATACTAATTGCTTAGAATGTATTTTACTAAATTTTATATTTTTAAGTTATGTTAAAGTATAATGAGCGAATAGAATTAGTATTTTCTGCAGGTGCATATCGGAAATCTAGAATCTACTTTGCTTACGTATTTGAATTTGCAATTTGGAATACCAATTTGGCTGGTTCAAAACTAATTATCGCAATATTAATGCCTCTTTCATAGATTTTATGACATCATTGGATGTGTTTAGTATTTTACGTGCGTCGTCGTTCAAAACCGGTAAATTTAAAACCGATTTCATAGAATTAATACTGATAAATTTAAACATCGTGACAACTTGCTCGAAAGTTCGAAACGTGCTAACAGTTTTAACTCATTATAAATTATAATATTAAACGTATTTTTATAGTTAATTATTATTTAAAATGTCTGATACTCGGAAAGGCAATATTCCTTGCTAATAAAATAGATTAAAAAGTTCCACATTGCAAAATGAATGCAACATGAGTTAATATCGCTAAGCTGAATATGACAGAGAGCCATTACGCTCCATAATTCAATTAGGAGGCGCTCATGCACATATATTGTTTGTGAGCTTCTAAAACGGTTTGTTACTTGTTATCCTTTGATATCAATGTTATACATTGGTTTAAAAGCAGTGTTAACCTAATGTCATGCATTCTGTGGGCGTAATTAACATTTGCTTGTAAGGATATAGTGTTAGATCCAAAAAATTACGCGTTTCATGTACAAAGGGATGACATTTGTAAAGAAGCCTTTAATCATTTGTTTTTGTTGGAATTGTACGTTTTAAAAGAAAAGATGAAAATTGCTAGATTAGATAAATTGATTAATGACGCACTACATGATTACAAACGATGGCCAAAACCATTGACAATTTGCACAGATAATTAAGAATTTTCTTTTAACTTCAAACACTATTTCTACGTGACGTATATATGTTATAGGTATACTCTATTTTTCTATATAATAAAATATTAAGATTATAAAAATAGCCTAAATATAACAGTTTTTATTTGTATTGGTAGTAGCAATAAACAATAATTAAAATTATCACTAGACCGTCCTTCTATTATTCGTTTATGATAATTTTGGCTATGAAATATGTAGCATAGATGCATAGTAACAAAAATTAACACATTTTAAATTCAAGCAAAACCCGTTTTTCAATTCCAATTCCAAAGGGTATATATAGAAAAAAAGAAAATATAAAATTCTGTTTTTAAATAAACTTCTTTAATAAATGCGAATTTATAAATAATTAAATCTTTGTCGAAGTTTTTAATATTAGTTATTTTGTAAGCAAAAGAAAACATGTTATGTAAGTGTTATTATAATTCTATAATCCAAAGCCAGAAATTCATAAAACTGCAACTTATAATCTATTCATACTTAACATTCATAAAATCAAGATAAGCGGTGCGTAAATTCATTTTTCCGCTGACAAAAGTAATAAATGTGGGTATCTGTTCCCATCCCCTCGCAGGGGTGGTAATGAATCGTCGTATAAAAGGCATAACCAAGTGGAAACGCGTTGGGCAGCCCTAGCGTAGATGTTGACGTGTGACGCAGGGTACAGCAGGGCTACTCCTTATATCGATACTGATTTTTAACCTTTGGAATACTACAATAGGCGCTAACAAAGTGTTCCTTACGTTATCCAACACAGACCTATGTCAATTTTGACTTTCGAAAGCGTGAATTTAAAAAAAATACTGCCTATTTTATCGAACAAAGGAATATATATAAAACCTGGCGCGGGAAATGTCATTTTAATTTTTTTGATGTCGTTTTATTATTGGCCTTGTTATATTTAAGTAAGTAGTTGAGTTTAGAAGTAACGTGCGTTATGTATGTTATGGCTAATGAAGATTATTTTCTTTAAAAAAATACAATATAATTTTATAAAGACTTGGTGGTATTGTGATATTCCATATATAGAAATCACAAGCGATATTATTAAAAGTATACCGAGCTCTTTCATTATATAACATTAGTGTGAGTTTTCTAGTTAAATGCCTCGTAAAGATTGCTAAGCGTAAACGCGCAAGTCCTAACCCAGAATCCTGCGTTAGAATTCCAGCTGTGAGACAAAATATGATTCTGTTCAATTATCAAGTACCTACTCGTAAGGTAAAAACTGGATTTTCTTAGAGAGAACAGCGATACTTAGGTTAAATGTACCAAAGAAGAATAGAATTATAAATGAAGGCAGATTCGTGCGGGTTATATATCCATTAGAAATTTATGATTTTATACGTTTTAATAAATATACAGTAATAAGTAGGGTAACGATAGAGATAATCTTTCTTTTAAAAGCTCCCCCAGTTCGATCGCGCCGGGCATTGTGTCGCTAATGCACCCTATACACTACACCTATAATTTTGTGACATAACATTAAATGGTATAATTACCTTTTAGTCACGGTAAAAGTCATAAATAAAGTTAAATAGTAATAAATATAAGTTATTTTAGGATGACTTAGTTTTGCGTTCGATTTTGAAAATTATATATTCTTATGTATTCTTTTGTGTCTTGTGTGTTTTTGCTCTTCTTTCTCTCTTTTGTCACATTTTTATTGTTTTAATACATAATAGTACTTAATATATATTTTCTAGATATAGTATTTGGGAAGTGGTCTGTTTGTAACTTGTGGGTTTAATTATGTATAGTGGAAATAAATAAGATTCAATCTTTTTTCAATACGCATTCAAAATGAATGATAAAATCAGGTTCTTGGTAATTAAGGGACGAAAAATACACGTGTCATCAGCACGTGACGCTGTCATGAAAGGAAATAAACATAGTCAGTAATATGTTTAATGAGTGTCATTCTCTGTATTTTAATTTTAATTTAAAAGAACTGTTTGCTTGGGAACACACAGTACACAGTCACACGCAGGATATATATATATATATGTAACCTTTTTTATAATGAAAACATTTTGTTATAGAAGCAAAATATAATGAATTTTTCATGCAACAATACTTGAATTTAGATTCTGGTATCATGGAGAAATTTTCTCAAGTAAGTCCTGGCGGCGACGTAGAGATGATAGAACACCCCACGCCTAAGAGATCACAATATGCACTTCACTCCCCACTATGAATACTTATAGGCCAGGGAGGAAGCTTAGAAAGTTAATTACTTCATTAAGATCACAAACGTTCTCGTATAGAATCCGTAATTTGGCTTTTGTTGAAGCAATTGAATTCGTGCATTGTACTAACTTAGAGAAAATTTAATTAAAAACTCACCAAAATTTGTAGACAATATGTTGTTTTGAAAATCGAACGAATAAAACACAGTAGCAGTTAAGTGGCAGATTCTAAATTTCAAATTCGAATAGCTCGTTCGAATTATTAATTTGATTTTTATTATCAGGCTTCGACCCTGGTTCGTTTAAGGGAGGAAGGGGGCTATTACATCCCGTGAAGCCACCCTTTCTAATTGATTTACAATTGTCGGTTAAATTTGTTTGCCGACTACCACGCCATCGAGAATCCTAAATGCATGTGAAGTATTTTACTTGGCAATGATAGACCGTTCACAATAATTAATGACTTAGACTTAACATTACAGACTGAAATTTGGGCACCTTTTTTAACTTATTTATTTGACAGAATAATACAATCATAATGTATTACATTGGAACCCACTGTCTGTAGTAATGTAACTTGAAATGTACCAAGTATTAATAATAAATAAATCAGTGGCTACAATCATTTTTTTAGATCTGGGCCTCAATTTCTCTATCCGTGTTATGTTGTCAATCTAATAGCCAAGTAGGTGATCTTGTGCCTGACACACGCTATTGAATTTTTGGGTCTAAGGCAAGCCGGTTTCCTCGCGATGTTTTCCTTTGCATTTTGACCGAATGTTCAATGCGCAGATAGGAAGAAATTGGTCGGTGTACTGCCGGGGATCGAATCTACGACCTCAGGGATGAGAGTCGCACGCTGAAGCCACTAGGCGAACTCCTCTGTTCTCTTTTCTCTGTACTAGGTATTAAAACATTAAATTCTAATGCCAAAAATGGCAAGAAAATGTTGTATGCATGAATTAAAATGTCGAAATTAATTTTTAAAGCTAAATCCAAAAATGCGAAGAAACTTCTCAGTCTAACGTTTATTCATATCATCTAAGAAATGCATTATCAGGTACTTCAAAGAAACTATGTAAGCGCAAGTTCTTTAGAAATACTTGATGGAACTCCGAAGAATGGATAGTTACGGAGTATTGCGAGGAGCGGTCAAAAGTGTTCCATTTAGGAGAATGTTCGAGATTCTTGAGTATCGACGATCAAGTCTTGCAGTGAATAAAACATGTAATAATGTAGAAGGTTCATGCTATCTACGGGGATAATTATACTGAAGTTTTGTTATACTTAAAATTCTCTTTTTAGTTATAAAAAGAGTTTATAAGTACTTATTTTTAAAAATCGTAAAAGTTTTAATTTGAGTTCTTTGGCTGGGTTTCACTAAAATTGTCTTTGGTTTTAGGCAATGTGTGTCCCGCGTGCGTTGAGGAAACCCCTCCAGACATTTAAATAAAATTATGATAATATATGCTTTTTAATTTGATAAAGAGTATTTCGTTTAACCTTAAAATATTCGACTGTGGCGGAATTATATTGAACGGCACAATCGTTGTTGTCTGAAAAAAGCCTTCTTTAAAATTTACAATATTATTATAAATGTCTTAAAAACAAAATCTAATTCTTAACCATTCCATTAATATCTTTCAAGCCGTTTAGGAGGAGTTTAATTACAAACACATGCACCAAAGGTAACATATAAAGCTATAAATATTAAAATATTTTAATAATACTGAAACTTAATTCTTTTAGCAATAAGAACAGCCCCACACATCCTTTGTCCAATTTTTTTCTGATGCTCTGTGACCAGGATGATCATCTGTGACGCAATGTATGTTAAATATTGTATATATAAATAAAATGATATTATTTTTAATGTAAAATAGGTCTAGTACGTTATAGATGATTTTCAAATATCAAATATTACTTTTAAAACATATCAAATAAATAATTTAAAAAAACATTGGTGTATCGTTCGCGTCTATCTAATTAATGATTTAATGGTTAAAAAAGTAATAAATAGTCCGCTCGCGTTGCGATCTGCCATAATGGAGTTATGACAAAAATGGCGATTGGTGTAAAGAAATATCACTTGCTGAACCCGAGATGCTTGTTAGCGTCTCCGTCTTTATTTATGGCGAGATTTATTTTATGGCCAGGGTGAAATCGAATGAGGCGACAAAAATGTACATTGATTGAGTTGAAACAAAGAAACTGTGTTTTAGATACGTTTTAGACAATGGCGTCTTTTATTTGTTGGTTTACATGAGTATTAGTAACGTAACTACAATATGGCTTATATAACTTAAAACTTATCACACAATCGATTGACTTAAAATAATCAAAGTTAGTTATAAAAAAAGTAGGTTTACTTTTATAACCTAAGAAAATGCAAGGCCGGCAACGCACTTGCAAGCCTTCTAGAAGTGTGTCTATGGTCAGTACAACTTAACATCAGATGAGCCTCCTGCCCATTCATTCAAGTCAAGTGAAGTCAAAAATCATTTACGTTAGTAATCATTTTTTTAGTACACTTATAAACGTCAAAAAAAAATGAAATGCTTTATATTTACGTTTACTGTCAGTTCTCAAATCAAGGGCGTAGAACGGAAAAGAAGAACTGGCAATAAACTCTCCGCCACTCTTTTAAATCGCCAAGTTTTTTTTTTTACACAACATTTGTAAGGAGCTGCGACCATTACACCATGTTCCACATGACGTCTTAAGTAATAAATAATAATAAAATAAATTAAAAACAAAGATTTGTCCTCTATCAGCAGGAGGCATGGTGAAATAGCACTTAGGCACTTCAATTCTCGTGGGAAGAACACGCAAATTCCCTATTCCATAAAAAAATATTACGTTATCTGATGTACACTAACCTAACCGTTATAAAACCTAAATGAATCTAGTTTCCCCATTTTAAACCACTCTTTCGTCTCTTTCAGTCATATCGTATTTAGGCTGAGATGAAAAGAGACAGATGTGAAAGACGGATGACGGTGAAATTGGTTTGATTTAGTTTTTTAAACTAAAATTATTTAAATGAAGTAAAATGTTTTAAGGTAAAAAATCCACGTATTGAGTCTTTTTGTATAAAAGTCTTTATTGAAAGGTTATAAGTATACATGTATGGTGTTAATCTATTAAGTAAGGAATAATATATGTAAAGAGGATGAAAGGTCAATGGCATGGATATTTGTTTATACTGCCTCGGCGCCTCATTAGACAGAAAGTTCCACATTCTTGATTTATCTTTGACTTCCGCGATTTCGTCTTTATAATTGAAGTTAAATAATTCTATATTATTGTAAATAATGTGAGTTAAATTAATCGTTTTGCATTTATACTCGTTTTAAAAATAAAATCTACTACAGATTAAATTCAAATTATTCACACGCAATCGGAAGAAATACAGT